CCCCCCCCCCCCCCCCCCCCCCCTATGGGAGGACTTGAAAACCTAAGGGTCCCCCTATAGTAGGACTTGGAGACCTAAGGGTACCCTCCTATAGTAGGACTTGAGGACCTAAGGATACTCCACCTATAGGAGAACTTGAGGACCTAAGGATCCCCCTATAGTAGGACTTCAGGATCTAAGGGTACCTCCATATAGTAAGACTTGAGCATCTAAGGGTACCCTATGGGAGGACTTGAGGACCTAAGGGTACCCCTATAGTAGGACTTGAGGACCTAAGGATTCCCCTATAGTAGGACTTGAGGATCTAAGGGTACCTCTCTGTAATAGGACTTGAGGACCTATATGTCCTCCATATAATAGCGTTTGGCGCTTATAGGCTTATTTGACCTTTGATCTTTAACCTTTGACCTTTGACCTTTAACCGTCAACCTTTGACGTTTAACCTTTGACCTTTAACCTTTAACCTTTGACCTGTCTACAAACACACAAACTCATTTTTTTTCATATGACTCTCCCTTCAGTCGAGGGGATAATGTCTTTTTCATTATACATGAATTACAGTGACAAACAAAAGTTTAGAGCAGACGTATTTGAATGGCTTCATTTGATAGAGCAAAATGATATGTCTCACGAGGGAACATTCCCAACTGTCATATCGGTTTTGAATCGAGTGTATGCGCATCATGTAGACACCAATGATCTATGAATACTCTGAAAAAAGTTCGTGCCGCTAGCTTATTACTGCCGAGATATTGCATTTTTACAATATGTATAAGCAAAAAGCCGTAATCCTCCTTAGGAACACTAGGAAAACTGAGTTTCGAATTTCAACTTGAAACTTTGTACAGGGACAGGTCTCAATGAGAATAGTTTATTGTGAAAGTTTCAGATCTTTTGATTGCTCCTAGTCTGAAATAAGAACATCGGAATCTGCTAGTATGTATAAGCTATTTTACCATAGCTGTATCTTAGGATAGGAACAACGAAAAGATCTAAAATTTTTACAATAAACTATTCTCACTAAGGTCTATTCCTATGCAAAGTTTCAAGTCGAAACTCGAAATTTAGTTTTTCTAATGTTTCTGAGGGGGATCACGGCTTTTTTTCTTAAACATACAGTAAAAATCAAGGGGGAAACAACTGATTTAAATCATCTGAAAATCAAAATTAAATCATTTGTAAATCATATTAAATCACTTGAAAAATTGATTTTAGATGATTTTAAATCATCTTTAAATCATTTTAAATCACCTTAACTCATTTTAAATCACAAAATCATAAATCAGTTGTTTCCCCCTTGGTAAAAATGCAATATCTCGGCAGTAATAAGCTAGCGGCATGAACTTTTTTCAGAGTATTCATATATCATTAGGGCCTACAGGATGCGCATACACTCGACTCAAAAGCGATGTAACAGTTGAGAATGTTCCCTCGTCAGTTTTCTTCATGACATTCATTCATTGAACTGTATTCAATTCACAGAAGATCCAAAAAAAAGACGACATGTTTCCTTTATTTGTATGTAAAATTTCAATGATTTCACCGTGTTTGACGCTCTGTTGTCTTCTACAAAATTGAATGTACTTTAGTAAAGTTAACTCGTAGTCAGAGTTATTTATTCTATCAAAAAAAAAAAAACAACAACAACAAAAAAAAAAACATTTCTAAAAAAAAACATTGAATGTATGCCAGAAAACTGGTTTTGGGGATCTCAGCTTTCCAGATAGTCTCATCATAAAGCTGTTTCATTCGAGTTTTTATATCCACCAATTCTGATAAATAATCTTTTCGGTTATTGGAATATTTTCCCGAACTCTTCCTAGTTATTATTATTGAGAAGAAAACTCAAAAATATACCTGCTATAAGCTTTTTGGATCACTATACTTCTTGATTGCATTTCTGGAAGATGAAGTCAAAGGATGATGAAGAAATATGTCCTAAAATAGGTTCTCGATGATAAGCAAGAGAAATTTCATCGTCTCTTTACATGTCAATGTTGTAGAGAATGCATTAATAGCTTTTCAATAGATAAGCGATACCTTACAATTTGTTTTGTCTATTATCGACTTTTATAAAAGAAGAAAAAAAAAAAAAATTTAAAGTACAAATAATTAGATATACAATCAAACAGAAATCTTACAAAATTAAAAGTCATATCAGAAGAGACAATCATAGAATGAATATATTCTCACATCGAGACCAATATCAAACTATAAAAGTAGTATTCAAAATCTATATTGACATGCAACTTAAACGGTAATTCAACTAGTTTTCGTGAGGAAAAAAAATCATGGATTTTGTCGATTGATATTTTCTCTAATATTTGAAGTTATGTTCGTATCCTAAAAAGACTGAAATTTATTCAAATTTTCTTTTAAATCAATAAACAATTTGAGTGACTATTTTTATAATCTCTAGTATCTTAATTATGTTCTATCTAGTTCCTAAAGTTAGACGAAATACAAAAATTCATAAAAATCTAGAAGAATAAATGTATTTTGGATATAATTCAAGACATATTTTTCAAAACAAAAAATATTATCAATAAACGGCGTTACGAAGGAAAACATTTTACAGGAACTATGACAGTTTTAACTGACAAACTTTAAAAAAACTGATCAGTAAGTTCAACTGATTTTTCTAAAATTGAAATGAAACTATTACATCCCTACTATTATTTATCAAAACTCATTTTCTCATCAACTAATTATCATGCAAAAATAAAAATATAAAATACAAATGTTTACAAATTGCTCATCTAATAATCAAATAGATTTTTATTCGAACAGATTTATGTTAATATCAATCTATTTTATTTAGAGTCGCTGTTGATTTTAGTTCATTTCAAGTGTTTAGTATAGGTACAGATTTAAAACAATCTGAATTTTCTAATCATAGTTGTCCTGTACTTGCTCAACCTGTTTATCGATCATCATCATCATCATCATCATCCACATCTAGTCAATAAAAATTACTACATGTTGAATTTGAAATAAATCCATTAGATAAATCATCAGATTATTGTGTTAAAGTTGTTTTACAATCTTTTGAAATTAAATACAATGCAGTAAATATAGAATTTTAATTGTATAATCTAAAAAATATTGTTTTTCTTTTAGTCAACAATTAATAAATTAGCTAAATGTTTTGAACAAAATACTCTACATAATCTTCAAAGATAAATTATAATTGAAAAATAAATTCTATTTAAAATATAAATTTATTTTAGTGTTAAACAAGCTATTTATTTCACTTATACAGATGTTAAACAACGTTCTTATATATAAATGAAATATAATATCGAAAAATTAAAGTTTTAGATATTGATATTGATCTTCAATCATCTTATTTTCTTTTACTAGACGACAATGGAGTTTATCAAGAGTAAGAACATGACATTTTTTAAAATTATTCTAATCTATCGAATTATTTTGTTTTCTAGTGATGCTGCAGTTATTTGTATGGATTTCGGTCATTTAGCATTAAAACGTACTAGAAAACCAAGTGAGAACGGAGAACAAGCCACTTCACTTAAAGAAAACACTTCATAGTGCTTAGTGTTATTTATTTCCACCAAAAAAGTACTTATCAACAGCACACATTTAGATTAAACTATAATTCTAGGGATTCATTCAGTAAGTTGGCGTCCAAAAAATCGGCAACATTTATAAAGAAACATCAATTGGATTAGAATAGCATCATTTCGTAGTCCTATTGAGCACTCCTCTTTTTATGTTGGCACCTGTTGCATATAAATAATAATTATTTCAAAATACTAAACTATTTCTAATAGAATCAAAGTAGACTATTCAGCCTTATGTCAATCTGTTTGACACTATGTTTTATTAAAATACATGTCACTAAGCACTACGAAATGTACCAAATTTTTATAGGATTTCTGGTTTTCAGGGATGTTAATGAGAGGAAGTCAAGTCTAGGTCGAAATTGATACAGAACTTCTGGCTTAGACTGAAGAGTCACTAGAATTTCACACTGGATCAAATTTCATTTAATCCAACTTTTCTTTTATACTTATAATTTGATTTATGACAAAATATTGAAGAAGCTCGTGAAAGATCTTATACTCAATTTAAATTAAAACTTGAAAATATTCAATTTATTTATGCCAATCAAAGTAAAACATAAACAAAATCTATTAAAAATAAAAAATAATAATTTTTTCTTAAATAAAATTTGGATGAAAGTTGAGAAAAGGCTCATCAAGAAAAAATATAAATATACATTTAATTAAATCAATGAAGTTTGATTTAGATATTAGTAAATGTATTTATAGTGATGATGCTATTTTACCTGCGTAGGTTTTTCTTTACAAAAAAAAAAAAAAAAAAAAAATATTTTTAATTAAATTTTTATTTTATTTCAGTTGGAAAGTTGCTGGAAATCTTCCTAGTGTAGATTTACATTCATTCAATAAATATTTATTTCAAATAATGAATCATATTCAATCAATTCCATTTCCTGAATCGAAACATTCAGTCGTTATTACACAATCGATTGAACCAGAAGTTTGTTTCATTCAGTTTTTGAACTTCGAAAAAAAGGACAAAAACAAAAAAAATCTTTGATTTTAGTCAACACTTGTACCATCATCATTGAGTAGTCCTGAATAAACATTAGAAATAATCGAAGGAATGATATCAGTTAAAAAAAAAAAAAAAATCTACAGAAAATAAAGATAAACAAATACAAAATACAGGTACAATTTTAGAAGCAAAATTTACATTTGATAAAATAAAGAATTCTTTATTTTTCATTTACTATTTAAATAATTTTTATTCTTTTTGAAAGATTGATATACATATTGATGAAAGTATGAATGAAAATAATGAAGATGCACCATTTCTTCGTTTAACACTTGTATCCATTGTTGTTGAAATAAAAATAAAAAACATTTGATATGATATTTCATATATCATTAGCTAATTTAATTGTCTATCATGAAGAATTTATCGGTAAAGATAATCAACAATTACGTTTATTATTAGTTCAATTAGAACAAAACATTTATAATCATGAAAATCAAAAGTTAGCTAGTGTCAATTTTCTTCATACATCACCAGAAAATCCATTATTTTTAACATCAAATTATAATGAAATTGAAAATAAAGCTCATGTTCATTTTAGTAAATTTGTTATATTACAAATAGAAGCACTTTTATCAATATTAAGATTTCAAGATACATTAATGAAACAATTACTACAAGATATACTAGAAAATCAAGCAAAAAAGAAACAAAAAGAACAAACAAATGCTAAAGATAATAAAAATATTGATATAAAACTGGAAAATTTGTCCAGAAAAAAAGGTGACCAATCTGTCCAATCGTGATAGAATCACATTTTTTCATTCTATATTTTTAATATTTCAAGAGAATGAAGCTGAACATATCGGAATATATTAAAGTCAAATAGTCTTATACATCTTGAAAGTTTTAAGGAAGAATATTCCTGCCTTTTGGCAATCTTGTGGTATGGGATGCTGCCTAATAGCAGATCCAATAGCCCGATATCTTTCCTAAAAATAATACTAGCTATAGTTCTGAATAGAAGGCTAGCATGTAGGGAGCTGGGGGTTCACATTTTTGTAGACTCAGATCCAAGAGAAGATAAGCTTCTGGGTCCGAATTCGATCGCGATAGCATCCAAAGCCGAGTTTTTTTTTCCATCAATATCGAACACTCTTTGTGTACATAAAAAAAGTGAAGAATTAAAATTTTTTTTCTATTTGCTGACTACCAAAATCTTCAGCTATATGAAATAGTCTTAGTTGTATTTAAAGAAACGAGAATATGTTCTATGGAATCAATATGAAGATTTATTTATTTATAAATCATTTTCTACTACTAGTTCACTATTTAAGCATATTCATAGTTGTCAAAATAAACAAAGAAAAAAAAAAGACGAATCTCCAATGCTCAAACAAGTATCAATCAGTTTTATGCATCTACAAAAAATGAACGAGCCACTTCGAATCGATTTCAGCAAAAAATTAAAGTTGTTTGTGTTGAATTTTCAAAACTTCAGTATTAACCTTGCAAAACAATCAATGATATCGCTTTTAAAAGTTTAACACAAAAAATTTGTAATGCATTGATTTGTATGTCGCTTCGTTTTCTAGCAAAGTGCTAAACACTTAATTTCATTGAAAACGTTCTGTAATGTCTAGGATTTTCTGAATAGCTTAACTTTTACAATGTAAAACAATGAAATTCCGTAACATTTCATCACATCGATCTATGAATGATTATTTTAATTGTTCAACTGTTTTATGAACTATTAATTAATTATTCGATTTATTGAATTTCATTGAATGCCAATTTTATGATTTATTTTTTTTCGATATTCCACTAGCATCTCCACTTAAGATTGATGCTGATTTAGAAGAATTTCGAATAATACTTGCATCAAAACAAGCAAAATTATTTTATATACAAGTTCAAGATTAGAAAATTTTTTTTTTAAATATAATTCGAATTTCCATTTAAATTTAATTTAGATGTCAAAACTTATGTATCACAAGCACTAGAAAAGACATTGGTCAATTTATTTCTATCCGATTTACGTGTTTTAGATCCATATAGAGAAGCACGATATCGAAAAATATGAGAGAACAAAAAAAATTAAATATTTATTTTTTAAATATTTATTAAGATTATTTCTCAACAAGACGATAATAAAGAATTACTTCATGTTGATTTATTTTTATTTAATTGTCCTAAAGGATATCAAAAACCTATTAATGTTTTTGATTGTGATATTAAAGTTCAATTTGCTAAAGCAAATTTTGTTTTTCTTTTTAAATATATTCATACAATTTTGGTAAAAAATTCATAACAAAAAAGAAAATTTTTTATATTTATTTTATTTTTTTGTTTCAAAGAGTTTTCTTGATTCATTAAATATAACTAAACCAGCACTTAATATAGTATTAACACAAGTTGATGTTGCTTATGAACAAGAACAAGCATTTAAAGTTCATCTTAATATAACATTTAATATAATTATTCCAACAAATTCATATTCTGATCAAGTACTTTTCTTGATTTAGGTAAATTAATATTAAAAACAAATTTTTATGATGATGCAAGAAAAATTACTTGTTGAACAACAAAATATTTGTTTCGAAAATATGCTTGCTAGTCGTGTTAAACTTGATCGAGATTGTAATATACTTGGTGAAGTTATTTTACTTGAATATGCTGAATTAAATATATTAATTAATCGTTTACTTTATCCAGAAAAAGTTACAACTGAATCAAGAGTTTCAATTAAAGTTGATTGGGGAATTAGTTCATATAAGTTTTGAAATAGAACTTTTTCTTTTCTTTGGTTTTTTTTTTTTTTTTTTTTTGTTCGAATAGTTTCAATTAGTAAAAGATGATCATTCATGTCTTATGGGAATTTTAATGGAAAATATTCATGACCAAATACCTGAAGATTTTCAAAATGAACAATATCGTTATAGACAAGAAGCACAAGAAAAAGAAAAATTAAGAGCTGCTATTATTAAGAAACAAATAGATTTGTCAAATGAATTTTTTTTTTTATTTATGAAAAATAGATGATTGAATGATGATGATTGTTTTTTAGAATCTTATAGTACTGAAGTATTACCAACATTTAAACTTCAAGCCGAAATCAAAAAATTGGCATTGACACTTTATTTTGGAGAATCCGACTTGGCTAGTTTTATTTAGAGAAAAAAAAAAATTTTTTTTTTAAAGACTTGCAAGTTATATTCAGTGTTATAAGTCATCTCTTGTATGTAGAACTCATGATGTATATGAATTAAAAATAATTCTCAATTTCTATATGTTATAGAAGAGACTTATTTTACTTGTTACTTCAAAAACATCTGTAACATCATCAAAACGTATTGAATATTTTTTAAACTGATTTTTTTCATACTAAAAAAAATAAAAAAAAGTCTTCTTTTTAGCTACAACTACTCAAAATATTGATATAGAGGTTGAAACTCGAATAGATATTAGTGTGAAAAATCCTGGAATCATTTTACTTGAAGGTCAACATAGTTCAAATTCAAATTGTCTTGTATTTGACGTAAGTTTCATTGCATTTTCTTAAATAATCATTTTATAAGGAAAAAAAAAACAAAATATTTTAGTTAGCTTTACAATTACGTATGATTAATATTAATAATAATACACAATTATACATCTTGTTAAAAAATTTAACAGTTTATAGTTCAAATTTTGCTAACTTAAAAGATTCAAATAATTCTCGATCAAAAATTAAATATCGTGTAAGTTAAAAAAATTGTTAATGCAACTCCTGCAGGATTAAAAAATGTGAAACATAATACAAATAATCTTGTTAGTCACAAGAAAATTGTTTTTATTCTATCTAATAAGTGCGCAATAAATAATGATACGATTCATATTTTCTTTCTATCTTATTCACGTTTGTAGATAGAAAACTACGCTTGATTTCAAACAAATCACTGTTCAATTCTCTATAAAATCACACGAGAAAATTAAATCTAATCTTCCAAGTTGATGAGAGAATCAAAAAACATTGATCTTTTCTGAGGATGTTTTCCAAACAATTTGCAATATTCCACTCTAAATTTCTCCAATTTTTAATAGTATTGATTGAAAATGATGTTTATCATAAACTTTCATAAGAAAGGTCGATCCTTCTCTAAATATCGATATATGATGAAACAATTGGTCCGTAAATGCTTTCAGACACAGTCACCAATCGATTGCCAAACGACAGATAAATATCTTCTGAAAACACTTAAGCTATATTGAATAAAATTCTAAATACAAGTTGTTGTCTACTAAAAATGGGTAAATATTAAGAACATCATCAAAATAAATAGAAAAAAATGGATGATGCCATTATTTATGCCGCACTTATTATTTTCAAGCATATTTTTTCCCCATGTTCTTACTAAATCCTTCAGACCTACAATAAGAAAGTAGTTCGTATATCAATAACACTTGTTGCGTTCTGTTGTGGTACAAATTTCTATTCTATATACTTCAAGACTTATTTTTAAATCGTGTTTCACAAAATAATTTATTGATTTATTTAATTGAACTTTTTATTTAAGATTTTACAACCAACTAAAACTGATATATATTTAATGATGAATAATGAACAACAAAAAATGGATGTACAAATATCGAATATTATTGTTAATATTGCGCCAACTACCATTCAAACTATTATTGGTGTTATAAGTTCATTAGGAACATTACAAGTTAGAAATAAAACGTAAACTATCAAATTTATTTGTATTATTATTTGTTTTTAGGCAACTGCAAAAGATGAAATAGAAAAATTTAATTTAAAATCATTATTTAATCCAAAACCTATAAAAGATGAAAATTTTTGGTTTAAAAAAGATTTTATTAAATATTTTCATAGAATTTAATTAATTATTTTATTGAATAGATTTTGAAAAAAAAAAAAACGGCAACAAACTGATGAATTAGAAATAGTTCAAGATACTTCATCACAACAGAAAGCTATTAAAGAAGAAGAAGAAGAAACACAAAAACCATTAACACAACAAGTAATGAAATTAAAAAAACAAAAATGAAATGATTTTTTTGTATTAAATAGAAAATTCTTTTTTTGGTTTTAGTTAATTCTAACATTGAAAACAATTGAAGTTAAACTTGAAGTTGGATTAGGTTCAGTAACAAAAGCTGTTGTAACTCTATGTTTATCAAATTTAACTACTGATGTTCAAAATTAGTCATTAAATGTAAAAACTTTTTTTTATTACAATTAATTTTCATTTATTTTTTCATGCATTCAGATAAGTCTTGTATCAACAATAAATATTGAAGTAGTATTATTCAATGAAAATATACTTAGTTGGGAATCGCTTATTAAACCAGCAATTACTTTTGAAAGTGCACATAATCCACCATGGTGTATTACATGCTCAACTTTACCCGTATGCCAATTGCTCAGAAAATTTTTTTTCTTGTATCTTTTTTATTCAAATCTAGATATGTATTTGAAATTTTCTTTTTTGTTTAATAACCATGTATATCTCAGACCGAATCTGATTGGTCTACTTCAAAGCTAGATCCGATTGTGTCAGGATTAGTACCCGGTGTCACCAACTTTTTTTGGTCTTGGTCACCGTCACAATCACGGGCTGGACTCACCGTGACCGTGACGGTGATCGTGACCGTGAGTCATTATCCTTCTTTTTTGGTTCCTCAACATGGAAAAAACTTTCTAGAAAGAACTATTGGAAAGTTTTTGTTTGTTGTTAAAAGTGATGAGCGAGGGAGAAGGTAGCTGCGCGAAGGTACCCGCACTCCTCCACAGATATTTCCAAAATCACGCATACTACAAACTTTCCAATTTTTCATAAAAACCGATGACCACAGGGCGAGGTAACTTCGCGAAGGTTCCCTACTTCCCCTCATGGATTTGCAAATTTTCGGAAAAAGTTGCATCAAACAAAATTTTTTGAGCCGTGACTGACCGTGACCAAGCTCCAGTCATGGTCACGATCACGATCTTTGAAAAAAGTCATGCACGATCACAGCCGTGATCGTGACTGACTGGTAGTCATGGCGATCACGTCAGACATCAGTCAGAACTCAAGATTTTTTTTGTTTTTTTTGGATCCTGGTTTTTTTCTAAAATAATTTTCCCTCCTATAAGCTACAAGATACAGTTAAACATGTGTTGAAAAAATCGAAAATAACCATTATAAGTGAACATCAAAATAAACCTTTATTTCTTTTTATTCCACGAAAAAAAAAACACTATATAATGTGGATAATAAAAATCAAATATAAATATTTTAAAGTACTTGAATTTAATCTATTTCTCATTTCAGCAAGATGAAGATAAAGAATATAATAAAATATTTAATTCGAAAGATAAAATATATGTTTGTTTGTTTTTTTCTAATTTAAAGACTCTTCCATTAATGGAAAAAACTGATTTATCAGTAATAGCTGCACAAGAATGAAAAGGAAGTGTTTCATCGTCAAAATCAAAACATATAATACTTGTACGTGCAGATCAATTACTTAATATAACAAAAAAAAAAAAAAAAAAAAAAAAAAACTGATCTTAATCTTGTTCAACGTTTATCAACTTTATTTAATGATGTTTATAATAAATGATTACCACCAAGTGATAATGATGATGGATCAATCAATGTTATCTTTATGTAATGAAACAGGACGAAAATTATTTATTGATTATTTAGATGGTTTTCAAATACGTTGAAAACATTTTATTTATTTATCTATTTATTATTTTCTTTTAAAGTTTGCTACTGATTCATCATTACAATCAATTACTCTTCAAACACATGAATCGATTCCATTAAATAGATCTAATATACATCAAACAGTTGGAAGATTTTCAATAATTGATGAACAAAATTTTAAACGACGACAAAAATTTTCTGTTAAAATAAATAATTAAAATAATCTATGATGCAAAAGTTTTGGCACAAAATATTTACTCATTTTTTGAATACTAAAAGACAACTTGTTAGAGATAGTTAGAAACAGAGTTTTTCACTATGTTCGAATAGCAAAATCTTATCTATGTATTTCTATTAAAAAAATAGTTTATATAGAAATTGGCATTGTTCAAGAATTCTTTGTTTCAAAATACTACGCTTAACCACTTGACGACAAGGTCACTCTTAACAAAAACAGGACATTTTTGAAATCCTGATAACATATACTTATCCAAATCGATATAAAAAAAAAATGTCTGACAATTCGAATGAGAGTGTAATAAATTGATGATTTATGTGCAATCACAGATCATATCAACATCATAATAGGTATGGACAATTTAGAAGTTGATTCGATAATCGAACGTATATATACGTCTGTGATACTCAAGACGTTAAATATATAAAAATTTTTCAATCTGTCATCTGAATTTCGCTCTATGAAACTGGTGAGAAAGTCTCTTCAGATGTCGAATCTCTTTTCAATCGAGACAATATTCATTTGATGAGTATCAGTGATTTTTACGGGCCTTTCAGATTAGATGGAAAATCCATTTTTAAGTTTCACCTTCGAACTTTGTATAAATAAAGTTCTTAATGAAATTCGTTGATTGTCAAACTAATATTTTCTTTTTGAAGATGTAAATATACGAACAAAACTTGTTTTTACATATGAGAGAATTTCAAATATTGAATATTTCAAGATAGAAGATATACCGGAAAAGTTACAACTTGTCAAATGAACTAAACTCAACGAGAACTTTATTCTTTCAATATTTGAAATCAAAAATCGATTTTTCATGTGAACTAAGAGAGATTACAGCTTTCTATTGAAAAATCGACTAAAATTTCAATATTTTTTGGTCAAAAAGTGATTTGACATCTGAAAAGGTTCTCTTCCTCGTGAGCCATTAAAAATTATTTCGCATTTTGAATTTGATAAATTTCAATCGAAATACAAAATTGACCAAAAAAAGTATTCTGTACAACCATTAATTTAGATTTCTTGAAATTTTGTTCAATTTTATCGCAAGGATATTCTAAACAAATATTTTTGAAAGATTAATTAAAAAACGTTTAATTCTAATTTGAGTGACTATTTCATGCCAAGACTTTCACATTATAGATTACATTTATTTATCTATAAATAAAACATTAATTTTTAATTGGAGATATTGTTAAAACTGTTAGCATAAGTCGAACATGAAAACGTATATATGAATTAAGTTTATCATTAAATTCAAATTAACTTATATTCAAATGCTTTGTAATACTGAAATAAAAAATGAACGTCGACATATTATTCTTAGTTCAGTTGTTCGAGTTTATAATAATATAACATTACCATTATTTATTTTAAATGTTGATTTAACTGATCCAAAAAATTCTAGTCGAATAACAAGAATTGAAATTAATGAAGATTATCATGTACCAATTGATTTACTTTATGCATATGCAAGTTTACCAATATTTATTGCAATTGATGAGTAAAATTGTTTTTAATTAAAAATATTTAAAAAAATATAAGATATTAATTTCTTATAGAAGTGAAGAAGTAAATAATATTTTTTCATTTGATTAAAATAAAGAATTTTCAATAGAAAGAATACTAAAATTAAAAAATAGAAATCAAGCTGATTTTATTGTAAGAATTCTTGAAAAGAAATTCTTGAAGAAAACTTTTGATTTTTAATATATATATATTTGAAGAAGAATTACTTGATGTTTATTCAAAAAATACTAATCAACTTAAATCAAACAAGTTTTAATTTTTATATTCATTCAGCATTTCATTTAACTAATCTTTTACCAATTGTATTGTATTGAATGTTCAATTGATGTAAGTTAAAGATTTTATTTAATTAATTAAATAATTTAATTGAAAATGTAGAGAAATTATAATTATGGCAATTATAACTGGGATCTATGGAGAAAAAAAAAAAGTTGATCTCGTACATCTCTACTCATAAAATTATATTTTATCTATACAATTTTATTATTTTCTTCTCTTAAAAAAAATTATGCATAGTAATGAATAATATTATATTTTCATTTAGAATGTCGAACAATTTACTTTAAAACTAAGTCAATTACATTTAGTTAAATCTAACAATAGAAACTCATCATTAGTTTTTACTGTAAGTTAGTTTTTTTTTTCTTTTTTGTATTTGAAATGAATTCGTTTTTTTGTTAGATTTCATCACATGATAATATAATATGGATATCTGAATCGGTTGATTTAAAAGTTGAAGGAAAAGATAATTATAATGAACATATTGTCATCTTTCGTAATCTTCAACAAATAATACTAGTAAAAATTTTATTAACATAAAAAAAAAAAAAGAATATTAATATTTCTTCTTGTTGTGTTTTAATTTTAAAAGAGAATGATTTTACGTGTTGATACTTTTCATGAATCATATCGTTTATTATTATATTCATCATTATGGATTCTTAATTGTATAGATCTTAAACTTGAATTTCAAATAAAATAATTCTTATTTTTATATTATATAATTTTTCTTTTAATAAATTGAAAATAATCGAACATTTATTGATGTTATTGAAAATGATGCAAACAAAACAGTAAAAGAATTAAATAAAAATAACAAAAAAACATAATGAAATTTTCAATTTTATCAATAGGGACAAATTTGTGTTTATGGTGTTGATCAAAGTGATACAGCAGCAAAATATTCAGAAAAATTTTCTCTTAATGTTAATTAAAAGTACAGATTTGACAAGTTGTAAAGTACCAAATGATTGAACATATATGGTAAAATAAATTTATAAATAAAGAAAAATTTTTTTGATTAAAGAAATTCTTAAATAGATTTATATGAATATTGCGATAAATTCATTTGGTTTAATAAAACTTGTTACACTTTTACTAGCAATAGTTATTATTAATAAATCAACTGTATGTTGAAAAAGATTTTTCTTTTCATATTATTAATATTGTTTTTTGTTTTTGAAAGATTGAAATTGAAATAATTGAAACTGTATCTAATAACCAACAAGATAAATGAGAACCGATTAATTCTGAACAATTAAATAAATCTATTTTTTAAAGTTCGATTTAATAAAAAAACAAAAAAAAATTAGATAATTCCATTTTGGTCACGTAATATATAAAAAATAGTTTAATGCATGTTTGCTATGTACATAATCAAATAACATCAATTCCATTCAAAATGAATGAAAAACATCGAACACTTTTACGTATGGATAATGAAGAATGTCCAGCGATTTATGTTGAAGTAACATCAATGGATTTTGATAATGTCAAAGTTATTTTTCGAGATTATAAAATTTGTGATGCACCTTGACTTGTTATAAATTACTTAGAAAACAATCTTGTTGCAATTTCTAAAGCTAATGATCTGCAAGTTCAAATGACTTTTTTTTAAAGAAAATTCAGTTTGTTGATTTTTCTTTTCAATATAGACAAACACAAATTTTACCATCATCAAATTATGTTTATTATACATGGATAGATCCATTACTTACTACCAAGAGAATTAACTATATTATATGAATATAAAATAGCAAAATTCGAACTTACTATAAATAAAAGTTTGTTTTCTATCAAAGAAAAAGTTTGTAATTTAAGCGGTCAGTAAAATAGATGAAATAATCAATAAAAAAATATATCTTATACAAGTAAAAAAAATAAATAAATAAATAAATAAATTCAGGTTTGGTCAATGAAAACTATAGATTTTATCAGCGGAGACATTTTTATCTGTATCAAATAGGACGTGGATGTGAGGGTGGTTTTGAATGAGTTTTCATTTTATTTATACACACACACACACACATGCTTATGACCATTGTTCTCAGCTTTAGTTTTGAAAAACAGTAACTTTTTTCACTGTCTGCAAGATAGAGCAGATAAATATTTGCTCTATATTAAGTTCTACAACTAGAAATATGTGGGTTCATTGACGAGAATATTATGTAAAAGTATCTTCCATTTTCCTTTCTTCATTCACGTATACAGCACAGATGTTCATGGAAATGCTACCGCGATCGTGTCGACGGTGCGGAAGATGTTTTAACAATACTATCGAGACAGTGACAGGGTAGTTTTGACTCTTCCAGAACTGCAACAGGTTTCTAGTCACGATGGATATCTTTGATATACAGTCGAGCACTTTCACATCATCAGTCCACAGACAATGCATATGCGGTGCATGACTATTTAAAAACTCTCTGATAAAAATTTCAAATATGAAAAATATCGAAACTACTTTTTATATTGGCAAAACTGTTCAAATTATTGATTCGAATCAAATCAAACTTCAATATAGAACGGAATAGTTCTTGTATAATATAGATACATTTGAAAATATTTTCTCTTGACTTAAATATTTCTCCTATAGTAATCTCCCGTATCGCAAATGATTAAATAATACCGACAATAGATATAACCCGCGATGCAAAAGTATCCGTACAAATGTTGGAGCCTATTGTATATAAAAAGAAGGTCCTAGAAACCGAACTTTTCCACTTATTGATAGAGCAACGTCTGTAGTTTAAAATGTATGTTTTAAAAAAATGGAGGATGTAGTTTAATATTTAAAATTTAAAAAGTTTTGGAACCACCAAAAATGACTTGTAACTTTTTAGTTTTTTTAGAGCTTTTTCTTGTTTTAATCTGCATCATAATGACTAAAAACACGGTATATCGAGCGGAAACTTGAAGATAGTAGACTATGGAGGCTAGACTGTCTACAGACTATCTGAAAGCACGACTCCATCATTTTCTGCGTTTCTATGGTAATCACTAGTCACCGTCATATAGAAAAAAGCGAGATATGGCAGTTTGAGCAAAAACCTCTACCGTTTGTAACGTTCAAAAATTTTAAAATATGTCCAAAAGATAGAGTTACTCAAACCCAACAGAGAAAGACATGTAATATTAAACTAAGTCATTGCAACTGGCTCACGATCTATTAAATGAACAATATGTACAAAAATACGCTTGGCTCCAAATTTACTCATAGTTAGAGGCTTTTATAACTCGGCGGGTCTATATACAATTAGCTTAAATTTTTTTAAACTGAAGGATACAAACCTGCTAAATATTCATAGTCGGTTTTAAACCATTAAAACTAACACAAGCCGAACATATGGAAGAATTACTAATTTTACCCTGGTTATCAAGTCATTTTTAATGGTTTAGAAACTTTTTAAATTTTAAGTACAAAACTACATCCTCCATTTTTTTAAAAACATACATTTTAAAGTACAGGCTTTGTTCTATCAATGGATGGAAAAGTTCGGTTTCTAGCACTTTCTGTTTCTATATAATGGGCTCTGACATTTGTACGGATACTTTTGCATCGCGGGTTATAAATGTATACTTCAAGACATTTTAAATCATGTTGTTTTCTCTTTGTCTTTATGAATCATTTTTGAATCCGATTGAAATAATAAGCTTGTTCTCATTTAAAAAACTTTCATTGATTATATCAAAAAAATTTTCAGCACTAAAACTTTATAAATTGAAAATTTTCTTCATAGTCTCGACGTGGAAAATTTGGTCCACAAGATCAATATAATGTAACTTATATCGTATTTATTAATGGTATTCAAACAGTTTTACTCTTTTCTGATAATGAAAAAAATAATAGAATCAGCTTCAAAAGTATGAATTTTAATTTTTATTTAAAACAAAAAAAGAAAAAAAAACAAAATCAATTATTATTCATATAGATACTATTAATAAGTGAATCTATGGATAAACATATACAAATTGATCACGTCTTCTTGATTGCGGACATTTTTCCTTAATTGGAGGAAAAAAATGTCCGAAAAGCAGAATCCAGGGGGGAGAGAAAAAATGACCGCAAAATGGAAAATGTCCGCATTATAGAAACAAGTGAAAAGAATTACAAGCAGATAATCAGCGCAGATATCTTGTTTCAGACGGATATTATCTTGATAGAAATAGCCTAGTGATGCATGTCACGTGTTGTCCAGGTCATTCTTGGGCATGCTGTTATGGAGCAGAATCACTAACATATAAGATTCTAACACGTGCTTCTATTAAACACCTTCTTTAACATTATTTCTCCTTTCTCTTCTGGTATTTTGTCTTATTTGGTATTGTATGTGGCATGCCTCTCTTTTTTTATTATCATCATGATGATTTTTATATAAATGCTCTTCACTTTCATACATGAGGAGAGTAAGTGAAATAAACAGATAAGACACAAGTGCTCTGTGTATCGTTATTATTACATACAAAGAAAGGAAATTATTCAATAATAATACATAAATATCCTTTATATAACATTGGTGAAGAAGTTGGCGTGCTCATTCAATTACCACCACAGCACGAACCTCGATCTCATTAAACGTATCAATTCGACATTCACTCAGCAATGATGTACTTATATGGATTTACGCTCTCGCAGCGCTGAACAACGTCAACGTGATAACGCACGAATCCTAGCCGACATCGCACAACGCAAACGTGATCAAGAATTAGCGAAACAAACAATGACATCGTCATCTAATACTGCATCATCATCTACTACTACATCAACATCCTCTACATCACTTGTTCCAGCAATCAACTCACTCATTTTGAAAGGTATCGAAAATTTTTCCGGTGCCGACGATCAAAATGTTCTTGAGTGGCTAGCCGATCTCCGAGATCATTTTAATGCCGCACATTTGTCCTCCGAAGACGCACGTGCACTTATCTCTCAATATTTGACCGGTGATGCTAAAAAATGGTACCAAGCCGAACGTGCCAACCTAGCCGAGCTCAGATGGTCTGCATTTAAACAAGCGCTTATACAAGCATTTGCACCACCTGCACATGAAATGAAGAAATTGGCTAAATTACTTAATCGTCGTCAAGGTCCCACAGAATCCATTCAATCCTATTATTTTGATATTATTACGTTATGTCGTCAATACAACAGCTCAATGTCTGATAAGGATAAGATCGCCCACTTAATCAATGGTCTTCGTCCTTCACTTAAAACTGCTGTTGCCATGGCCGAACCTGAATCAATCCAGGATTTTCTCCACAAAGCGAAAACCGGCGAAGCTGTTTTTTCACTCGATGTTCCAGATACTCCTACACAAACACCAACAAGTGGCATATCTGAAACAACAGCCGCTATTCAACATCACAGAACCAATCGTACTCAACGCGAACTCCCGGTCTTTACGAATCGTCAAGCACAACACGTCACACCTTCTTATCGTCCAGTGTCCTTGCGATATCCTGCACCGCATCCTACACATCATTTTACAGGTTTTCCTCGTGTTCCTCAGTCATACTACTTGGGCACTCACCAACTCCGTCCTCGCTACACTACAAGTCATTTTTCAACACGTGCTGCATATCCACGTGGTACGTCCACGACGACACACCCACGACGTATACACCACCAATGGTCCAATCCTCATCATAATTTACAATATGATACATCTGCCTCATATAACCGTTCGGTTAATTCATTCCACGGATGCTTCACCTGTGGTCAACTTGATCATCGATCGCGCAACTGTCCTTTAAACTACTGAAGGTGGCTTCCGATGGCACTGCCACCATTCATCAGCAAAGTCCATCCTCTTCTCTTCTTTTTATTTCCGTTTACGTCAATAATGTCCCTACTCGTGCTTTAATAGATACTGGTTCTACAATATCTGCTGTTTCACCTGATTTTCTCTCTCGTATTCATCACCAACCTATTCGATCAACATCATCTACTTGTTCCACAGCTAATAATAATCAATTGACTATTCGTGGTCGTCTATCATTACAAGTGCGTATTAATAATATTTCCACCAACATCGATGTACTCGTCGTAGATAATTTATGCACTGATTTACTTCTCGGTAGTGACTGGAGCCATGCTTATTATGTTGAAATTAATTATCGCCTTGGTATTCTTACCTTATCCGATACTACCGGTCGCCGAACATATACTCGATTTCTTCAACCACACACCACAACTAATCGATCATTCGCTGTTAAAACTTCTCGCCATCTCGTCATACTATCGGCCGCATCAGTCGTCATTTCGGTGTCTACAGACACAATGGATACCATGGCTGCACTTTTTACTCCATCTGAACATTTTTTAGCAAAACATCCACTGCTTATCCCTCATGCACTTGTTACCGTTTCAAACAACACATCCTTTTTATCGCTACTCAACCCTACTAATGCTCCATATACTTTAACACGTGGAACAATATTAGGTAAAATCCAATTTCTATCTACCACAAATCAATATTACTATGTCAATTCGACAGATGTTCGTCATTCAAACAAGTTTTCACCTCGATCTCCCACTCATATACGACCTTTCGTTGGTAACGGGTATAACTGCCATGTTCACCATCATTCACAATGTTGCACTATTAAATCACCACCTGAAAACAAATCTTCACGTACCGAATTAGACTCTCTCTCACACCTCGTGAAACATCTACCACATCATCAACAAATTTTGATGAAAACGGTCCTCAATAAATACAAGAACGTATTCGACACTTCTGTATCTAGCACTATCAATGCCGGTGTATTTCATCGTATTCCAGTCAGACGTGATCAACCTCCGATACAATCTTATCCATATCGCAAAGCTCCAAAAGAGCGTGAAATCATCAACACTCAAGTCGCCGATATGCTTAACAAACATATCATCCGTCCGTCTACTAGTCCTTGGACCTCTCCTGTTGTCATCGTGAAAAAGAAAGATGGTACACCTCGTTTCTGCGTCGATTATCGTCGTCTTAATGCAGTTACTGAACGTGATGTTTACCCCCTCCCCCGTATCGATGATATTATCGATCGTCTTGCCGGTTCAAAATTTTATTCGGTTTTCGATTTAAAACAAGGTTATTGGCAAGTACCTATAGCAGAGCACGACAAGAAAAAAACAGCATTCGTCACCACCGACGGACTTTTCGAATTCAACGTCATGTCATTTGGTCTTTCCAATGCTGGCGCTACTTTTCAACGCCTTATTAATTCTATACTTAGCAGTTTACGCTGGGATATAGCTCTTGTCTATCTCGACGACATTATCGTCTATTCACCATCTTTTCACACACATCTGCAACACGTTGCTCGCGTTCTCGAAGTACTCGACAAGGCCAATATCAAACTCAATCGCGATAAGTGCACATTAGCTAGACATCAAATTGATTACTTAGGTTTTCGCATAACACAAGATGGAATTAAACCATTAACCGCAAATGTGAAGAAAACACTCGATTTTCCAACACCTACATCAGCCGCACAAGCATACTCTTTTGTTCAAATGGCTCAGTTTTATCGTCGTTTCATCTCGAATTTCTCATCAATCGCTGCTCCATTATTAAAATTCAAACAATCAAACTCAACATTTCTATGGACAGATGAATGCGAATTAGCCTTCACCACAATCAAGAATAAACTCTCTCAATATCCCCTGCTCGCTTTCCCCAATGAAATTGCTACACTTCGGTTATCAGTATCTACAGATGCCTCAAATGTTGGTATTGGCGATGCTCTACATGTCATTACCGATCGTGGTGAACGACCCGTCACCTTTCTCTCTCGTACACTTTCTACCGCCGAACAGAAGTACTCTACAGTCGAAAAAGAATGTCTCGCAATTGTATGGTGCATTAAACAATTACGTCCTTATTTATATGGTCGCGAATTCATTGTCGTCAGTGATCATCACCCTTTATGTTGGCTCAACCAGCAGCCATCAAAGAATAGACGCCTCGATAGGTGATCCCTACAATTGCAGGAATATCAATTTAAGATTCAACATCGATCCGGTACTCGCAACTGTGTTCCTGATTGCCTTTCTCAATTTCCCCTCAACCCGCCTGATACTATTGCCGATCAACGTGCAGACCACATGCACGTTCCTGATAATATCGTATCGGCTATTCAATCATCTGTCTTTGACACAAGTATGATTGGCCCTGCTCAATTACTCGATCATCGACTCAAGAAGTTACACACCGATCTCACTAATGGTACTTCGACTGCTACATATTGTGTCGTGAACGACGTCATACATAAAATAATTACTCGCCCTGGATCAACTCCCCTCACTTTGCCTCTTATTCCACCATCACTCGTCAAACCACTTTTACAGGCCTATCACGATCATCCAACCAGTGGTCATTTAGGTGTTCACAAAACTTGGAATAAAATTCGAGAACGTTTTTATTGGCGCAAAATGTTTCACGATATTAAAGCTTACATTGCTATGTGTTCTAAATGTCAACAGCATAAAATTTCTCGCCGCAAACCAACAGGTCTCTTACAACCAATAGAACTACCATCCGGTGCTTTCGAACTCGTTGGACTCGATTTTCTCGGTCCTGTACCTGTCTCTTCAAGTGGTAATAAGTGCATTCTCGTCTGCACCGACTATCTCACTAAATGGGCCATTACTCATGCAACACCAGATTGTACTGCATCTACCGCCGCACAGTTTCTTGTCGAAAAAGTTATTTTACAATATGGTACTCCTCGTGTTTTAATTACAGATCGCGGCACCCATTTCACTGCACAAGTCTTTGAAGCAATTGCGACTCGATGTGGCGTGCATCACATCAAGTCTACCGCTTACCATGCTCAAACAAACGGCCAGACCGAAAGGTTTAACGCCACATTGAGCAATTCTATCGCTACATACGTGAATCAACAACAATCCGACTGGGATTTATATCTACCTTTCTGCATATTTGCATATAATACAGCAAAACATGAATCAACTCATATACCCCCTTTCACACTTGTTTATGGTCGTCAAGCTGTTTTACCCTTCGATGTACCGAAATCAACAGTTACTTTATCATCACCCAACGACTATTACACACAACTCATTCGATTTCTTCGCGAAGCAAAATCTACCGTATTAATTAATCTACATCGAAAACAAAATCTATACAAACGACGATACGATACTGGTCGTCATGATCAACAATTAAAAATTGGTCAACCAGTTTTACTCAAACAAATGATGCCCCAAAATTTGCGCAAATTTTCACCAAAATATCTTGGTCCTTTCATTGTTACTTGTCAGCACGGTCGACTCAATTACACAATTAAAAATCCAACTACTGGTCATGAAGACATCGTACATGTCTCTCGTCTCCTCGCACTGACACAATGAATATTATGTATCGATAACTTTTCTTTTAAATCATCAGCTTCTCGCACGGTACCGATACATTTTTTTTTCTATCATCAGTGCATGTTTTTCTTTTGCACCGTCGCGTGCCGCGGACGCGTTCGGTTCTCGTTATGTTCATTTATATTTCATGTCATTTTTACTATCTTTCATTCATTTTGGCTTATGCTCGTTTTTTTTTTTTGAACACGCTTGTGTTTCTTATTGTCTCTTTCTATCATATCCAATATTGCTTAACTTGATGTAAGACCTGATCACCCTTACGTCTCATTAAGTTTATATTGGATGCTTTTCTTTCCTTTATTTCATAATGTGATGAGCGGGACGCTTCATCATCAAGCCGTGGAGGTGTGTTATGGAGCAGAATCACTAACATATAAGATTCTAACACGTGCTTCTATTAAACACCTTCTTTAACATTGTTTCTCCTTTCTCTTCTGGTATTTTGTCTTATTTGGTATTGTATGTGGCATGCCTCTCTTTTTTTATTATCATCATGATGATTCTTATATAAATGCTCTTCACTTTCATACATGAGGAGAGTAAGTGAAATAAACAGATAAGACACAAGTGCTCTGTGTATCGTTATTATTACATACAAAGAAAGGAAATTATTCAATAATAATACATAAATATCCTTTATATAACAATGCGCTTGTAAATAAAGTATTAAAAGTGAACGAAATGAAGTAAAATGAATTCAATCAGAATGTCTATCGTCAGTGATAATACCTTTTCTGAAATTACCACGCAATTTGGTAATAAAGTGATAGTGTTTAAAAACTATTATTTTGGTTTACGACGGACCAAAAAAGATGGAAGTCAAGTTTGGATATGTACACATAAGTTATGTAATGTCACCATCACCATACATGAAGGTGCTATTATAAAAACATCGCTTATAAAAGCTGATGGAAATCATGAATTTGAACATCTACAAAAAATGGCTTTAAATGTTTATGAGTGCATCACATCTATCAAACGAAAGATTGAAGAAGAACCTACAGCACCAGTATCATTGTTATACGATCAATAAGTAAAAAAATTTAGAAAAGAAAATGGTAGTGCAGCTGCAGTTCCACTATTTGATCGTATTAAGACATCATTATACGAATATCGCTCGTCTCAGCATCCACCAATACCAAAATCATTATCAACTATTGATGTACCTGAACGACTTACTCGAACATTAATGGGAGATCATTTTTTGATTTTGTCATAATCGTCAAGCATTAATTCTTGCTTTTGCATCACCAAAAGCTATTGAAATTCTTGGTGCAAATGATCACTGGAACAGCGATGACACTTTCCGCACTGCACCTCAACTCTTTTATCAAAGCTATACTGTTCATGTATGAGACAATTATAGCATGAAATCCATGCTATATGCTGCATTACCTAACAAAAATGCTAATGTTTATGATATTTTATTAGAAGAATTACTATTATATGCTCAAAAGAATGGTATCTTACTGAAACCAAAATCTATTTTAATTGATTTCGAAAAGGCCTCCTTTAATGCTTTTTCAAAAAACTTTCCAACAGCAAGCATTAAAGGGTGCTATTTCCACTTCGCCCAAAATATTTGGCGACAAATTAAGAAAAAAGGCTTAGTTAATTTATCAGATGATGATGAAGCTCGTCGTCAAATTGCAAATTTAATTATGTTACCATTATTACCACCGGAAGAAATAAATGAAGCTTTTAGTAACATCATTGAAGAGCTAAGTAATATACATCACAAGTTTCTCAAATTAACCGATTATGTTCATCGTACATACATCGAAGAAGAATTATTTCCTCGAACATTTTGTAATTTTTTCGATCTTATTGGTATTCGACCTAAAACTAACAACCACATAGAAGAATAATATCACAGTCAATTAAATTCTCATTGTCAAACACATCCAAATCTGTGGGGATGGATAAGGTACATTCAAGAATCAGAAGAATCAACAATGGTGAGGATCGAACAAGAAGCTGCTCAACAACGTACAACACGTCCTAAAAAATTCAAATCGGTTACAAATGAAAATATTTTAATTCAAGCAAAGCAGGATTATTTAGATGGTCTATTAGATCTTTATAGTTACCAAAGCAGACTACGTTCGCTTTGTTATCGATATATTAAGGTGTTTGCTGAAACTGAAAAAGATGACCTAGATTATATACCTAAACAATGTTAAATGTTTCTTCTCTTTTCATAAAGGATATTTTTTTTCTTCTCATTTATCATACTTTTTTTTCTAATAAATTAGTGTATTGATATCATTATGCGAACATTTTCCAATTTGTGGTCATTTTTGTGTCTCTCCTCGCCCCCCTCGATTCTGCTTTGCGGTCATTTTTTCTTAATTGGCAGAAAAAAGTGTCCGCAATCAAGAATTAGCCAAATTAATATACATGATATTGGTATTTCTATTGTTGATAATATAACACGAGAAGAAATACTTTATACAAGTTACAATAAATCCGAAGTTATTTGGACTGAAACAAAAAGAAATCGTGTTAAACCTTTATCACATAGTATAAATACATATTTAGAAGAATTATATACAATTCATGTTAGACAATGTAAAATGAATTTCAAAGAAAAAAAAAAGCAAATGGAAGGATTTTGAATATAATTCATTTTGTTTTATTTTTCTTGCAAATGAAAAAAATATGTTTGTTTTTTTTTTTTTTTTTGAAGGAAATTTCATTTCATGGTGAAACAGCAGAATTAATTCATTCTAAAATACAACGAAAATAATGCTAACCGACAAGCATTAGATGGTCTATGGATTGAATATGCATGGTCAATATCAAATTTTGCATTAGATATACGTATTAATTGTTTACAAATTGATAATTAACTTGATTATACAATATTTCATGTTGTGCTTCATCTAACTATTCCAAAATCAACAGAAAGTGATTATGTTTAAAAAAACCATTTATTGAATTAAGTGTTTATCAATCTAAAACAGCACAATCAAATATAATGAAATTTACATATTTTACAATAGTTACTCAAGAATTTGTTGTTCAAATTGATCAAAGTTTAATTGCTGCCATTCTTGCCTTTTTAAGACTAGAAAATGTTTGTTTTATTTTTCTTTATTAATTCTTTTTTTTTTCTTTGCTTTCAATAGATTTTTGAGGCACCAACTATTAATATGAATACAGATTTAGAACAAATCCAAAAACCACTTAATGCTATTATTAGAAGACAAATTGAGAGTCGATCAAATGAAACAGAAGTGTTTTTTGATATTATTCATTTATCATCGCTTAAAGTATTAAAAATGAATTTATTTTAGTTTATTTAACGAATTATATTTAGATTCATTTTAGTCTTTCAAAGTATGGACCAAAACCAAGTGAAGAATTATTAGCTAAATATCCATTAGTTGAATTTCTTTTACAAATATTAAATGTTGGTGAAGTACAAGATATTATTTTATGGTAGAAATTTTTTTTCTTTTTGTTAAGTATATTCGATTTTAATCGTTTTAATTTCTAGTTTGGATTATTATGAACGAAATCATGAAAAATTTACAACAACAAAAATAACAAATGAAATTTCATCTCATTATCAAAATCAATTTATGAAACAATTTCATGCATTAGTGTTTGGACTTGATGCACTTGGAAATTCATTTGGTGTTATTTGTGGTCTTCCGGAAAGTGTTGAATCGTTTTTTTTTGAATCATATAAAGTATTATTAAGAAAAAATGAAAAAATATATATAATAATGTTTGTGTTTTATTTTAAAGGATGCAATTGAAGGTCCATTAGAATTTGCTGAAGTTGTAGTAACCGGTTCTAAAGCATTATTTGGTTCAGTTGTTGGTGGTGCTGTTTCAAAAATAACTAGTGTACTTGGAAAAGATTTAGCAAATTTAACATTTTATGAAGAGTATAAAGTTTCACATATTCGATGTAAAGAACCGGAAGCGACTGCAGCAATACATATTGCTATAGGAGAAACGAATGTCGTTATGATCTGTTGACACTTTTTTCTATGTCTAAATTTGAGATTTGTTTGTTTTTGTTTTTTTTTTTTTTGAAATAAAGTTTTGTTGATGGTGTTAAGGATGTTGTAACAAAACCAGTAAGAGGAGCAAAACATGGTGGAACAACGGATTTTATTAAAGGTTTAGGACAAGGTGTTGTTAATCTTGTCACACGACCAACAGGTGGAGTAGTAAATTTTGCCAGCATATCACTTGATTTAATCAAAAGGTAAGATAATCTTGCTTATATGTGGGCATTGCCATGGAAAGTATACCATAAAAACACAAAGATCTCAGAAAATGTTTTGAAGTATCAGAGCTTGTAGAATTTTTTTTCGCTGATCATTTTGATAAAAAAAAAAAAAAAAAAAAAATTTCTTTTTTCATCAAAAAATAATGGCACTAGGGTCAAAATA